AGATGTGTATAAGAGACAAGCCCTAGGCATGGGGATTTTTTTTCTGAGACACTATAGGGTATGTTGATTCAGAAAAACCGAAAATTAATTTTCCTTTACTTTTTTCCCGCTAAAATTCATTTCAGCAGTTATACAACCAGGCTATTTATGCTCTTCATAATGTTTCCAGAGTGTGACTTCTATGTAGGGGGCCACGCAAATGAAATTTAAATACCATTTAAAATCATCGTTTTGAAATTCTGGGAATAAATAGGATTAATTTGAAATTGATTTTGGAAACAATCAATTATCTTCAGTTAGTGATTTGCATGTTATATTATATTTGCATGTTGTTGTTGTGCTGTTATAATGGACTTTTCTTGCTTGAAATGGCTCTAGATTTGGAAATCGACTTGATGACTCCCATATTCTGATATAATTACGTTATATTAATATGGCCAATATTAAATATTGTGGATGTTGCTGTTATCACCACCACTACTACCACAACCACAATCAACATCATCAACTTCATCATCTTTATTATTATTATTATTATTATTTATTAAACTTATTATTATTATTATTATTATTATTATTATTATCATGATCATCATCATCATCATCAACATATATTTTAGTTCGAGGTACCGTGAAAGGTCCATGCTCCCATTGGCTCTAGATTTAGAAATCGACTTGATGACTCCCATATTCTGATATAATTACGTTATATTATATGGCCAATATTAAACATTGTGGATGTTGCTGTTATCACCACCACCACCCCCACAGTGGCGGATCTAGGATTTAGCAATGGGAGTGGATAATGCGATTTGCGAAGCACCGAGCGGTGGGGGGGGGGGGGTGTGGTTTTCACATGGGCGCAGATCTGTTTCGAAATGTGAGGGGGACATTTTGTGAGGCCACACCCACAGGCCCACCATGGATTTGGAAAATAGTAGCTCTCTATGTCTGGAAATGACAATTTTATATAGTAAAATTCATCATAGTAAAAATGAAGCGTCAACAAATTTCTCATGATTTTCGGCAACCATAGATATCTAATTAATATGTGTGATGTACTATAGAAAATAAATATTAAAAACATTGTCTTTGATGTACTTAATTTAGGCCTACCTACTTCGAAGCCATTAGTCTACACAAGGGCTGAGGTGGGAACATTTGGGGAAAATAGTTCCTCTTGATTACCAGAAATGACACTCTGTTATAATAAAATTCATCATCATCGATCAAATTAATCGCTGTGATGTTCCATTGAAAGTAATTCATCATCATCGATCAAATTAATCACTGTGATGTTCCATTGAAAATAAAACTCAATTGTCATTGATGTATTTTTAATTTACTTTACCATGTGCCGAAAACCAATCTTATTATTATTATTACACGCTTTTTCTCATATTTCTAAAATTATAAAAAAAAAAAAAAAGGGTACGCGCACAAGAATCGTGTATTATAAATAATTCAGATGTTTGTGGGCAGAGATAGAGTATCGGTTGTACAGCACACTTTCGTTAAAACCTGGGTCATTTATGCAGTTTTCAACAATTTTCAGGCATCTTCTTGACTTATTATATTATTACATTGTGGACGAAAAGTAAGGGACCAGCACCCACCACTTAACAATATTTTGGGTCGTGTCCCCCTGTCCCTCCTTGATCATGGGCTTAGGGAGAGGCATCCCCTTCCATTTGAGATTTTTTGGAATTAGTTGACGGCTAGACGCTCTTGGATGACATCTGAAAAGAAGTTAAGCTTAAAATAGAAAGTGTATGTTTTACGAGAGTAGCCTACTACATGTAACATGTATACATGAGAAGCACACACACAAGACGAGTGATTATATATATTTTTTTCAAGGTCACCGAAGAGGGTGGCTAGCCACCCTATTCACCCCACTAGATCCGCCACTGCACCACCACCAAAGTTAACATCATCATCTTTATTATTATTATTATTATTATTATTATTATTATTATTATTATTATTATTATTATTATTATTATTATTATTATTATTATTATTATAATCATCATCATCATCATCATTGTCTATCTTCATCATTTATTTTAATTCGAGGTACCGTGAAAGATCCATGCTCCCATCTGTCAACATTGGTGGTACAGATATCGCTGCTTCATGTTCAGTCAGAGATCTGGGTATTCAGCTAGATGACAAAAGCAAATCTGAAAGAACACGCATTCGCAATGTATGTCATAGAGTTTCTTTTGGGATCTACGTGATCGGCAAATATTTAGATAAAAATTCAACAAAATGTCTCATCAATGCACTTGTCTCATCACGCCCTGACTGTAATTACTCGCTTTTATATGGCCTACCAAATACCCTTCTTTCGTCTCCGCAAGGAGTCAAAAACTCAGCTGCCAGACTTGCTGCATGCACCAAACGCCGTCACCGCATTTCTCTTGTTTTGGGCGATTTGCACTGGTAGCCCGTCAAGCAACATATTATTTTTAAAATTTTACTTTTGCCACACAAAGCCATACACGATTGGGCTCGGGCATATATTCGTGATTTCATCTCAATCTCTCCCAAATCAACTCTCCGTTCATCAAGCCAACTCCTACTGAAACATAGACCACGCATTAAAACATCCTCATAGGGACAGGACTGTTTTCTGTTGCAGCTCAAAAACTCTGGAACAGACTAGTCTTCTATATATGAAATCCGTGCATTAACATCTGTAAACATTTTCTTTGAAATTAAGCTTTGAAATTAACTGTCTTTTTCGCTATATAATTTTTATTTATTATTATTATTTATTTATTTATTTATTTATATTTTAAGATTAAAATTAGCAATAATTGCAACAATACGTTACCTTAATTTAAATTCATGTTTAATGAATTACGAAATATATCATATTAGGTATAAATTATTTTCAAAACATCAATAACCTTCTTGTGATTATTTTTTTATTTACGGATAAAAGGTCATTTATTATCTCAAAATAGTACAAAACAATAATATAGAAATTTCTTCAAACCATTTCAAAATCAAAAATAAAATAAAATAATAAACAATATTATGAGAATTATTTTTTATCTCATTTCTTAAAATTATACCTTTACAAAAATTGTCTTATAGGAGTGATGTTTTTGCCCCACCTGACGTGTTGTCGTACCGAATAGCCAGTACGTTCCCTAATACTTGGGAAAATCGCAAGTGACTACTTCCATGATATGTATATTTGTTTTCTAATTCGTACATGCATTTTAGGTCTGTGTCCGACCTCTTGGACCGCATATGAAGGAAGCTGCTACACACTCCTAAGTGGGAATAGTTCTTGGCATGAAGCAAAGAGTCGTTGTGAAGAAGAAAACGCAAACTTGGTTACCATTTCCTCAGCGCAGGAAAATATTTTCGTTAGTGCTCATACAGACGATTGTCAAAAGATTTGGATCGGTCTTAATGATAATCGTGTAGAGGATACCTGGCAATGGTTAAGCAATGAAACTTTCAATTTTTCTGGCAAGTGTTGGTCTACAATATTAATAAGTAGTCTACAATACGATGCTAAACTTTTAAATCGTTTGAAATATCAAGTTTAGTGGCGGTCCAGTTGGGGTCAGAAGAAACCCCTCGTCCCCGATGTCATGATTCGTCGGACCAAACGTGTTGATTTTCCTATCCAAATAACCTTATTGCCTATCTGTAATACTGTGGTCTACAAGCACGATTTTGGGTATATTTTGGACTCTTACCGAGGGTCTACTGTAGACCACTCGGTCCAGACTTGTCGGACTTCATGGGCAAATGTCTGCACTGAGTAGAAACAACTTAAACATTAAGTATGTTCTGCAAGAAGAAGTGAATTATTAACAATTAATAATTCAATCTTCCCTACTTTGTAATGTATCAAGATAACAGCTTCCAATTGCATATTTAAATAAAGTGATACAATTTTTCCATTGGTTCCACTAATTAACGGACGTAAAACACTATAATTTTGTGTATGCCTAGACCTTTACATTTGCTGGTAAATAAACCTTTTTGTATAAAAAAAAAAAAGCCATATGGCCTAATAATTACGCAAAAAAAAACAACCTAATGGTTTCAAAAAGTGTTTCATTGGAATTGAAACTATATATTTGATACTTTCAAATTATAAATGTTACAAATCAACGTTATTTAATAATTTATGACCGAAGGAATATTTAAAATTAGAAAGTTAAATAGTTAAATATTCCTTATTTATGTCGCATTAAGGACAACTCAGCAGTATAAATTTATTTGATCAGTGTATTCAATGCAGTAAATTATCCTTTTGAACTCATGTACAGTATAACTTATACTTGCTGACTTATGTTTACAGCTTGGATGAAAGATCAACCAAACAACGCTAATAGTAATCAAAATTGCGTCGAACTTAAACCGAGCACTAGAAAGTGGAATGATAAGAAGTGCAAAAAGAACAATCCCGCATACTGTGAAAAAGGCTAGTATTATACCAATTATACTGACAGTTCATGAGGGAATGGTGAAATCTATTGCCCCGAGGTGATGTGGAGACAACTATCTTCCCGAGGGCCGTAAATTCTACGAGG